ATTCATGAGCATCTCCTTCTGGAAAGCTGGCAGAGCCTGGAAAAAAAAAAAACAATTCTGGGGAAATAATTTTTTAAGAATATCATGAGGTTTGCTCTGAAGCCCATTTAGCTAAATGTGCTGCTGCTGTCTACCACACGTTTGAATCGCCGGACAATTGCTACTAATCCTTAATACAAGTCTGCGTGAACTGATCAACTACGCTGTGATTTGGGCAATATTTCTTTAACCCTTCTAAATTGCTAGGCGTTGTAGATTGCCTGAAAATGAAGTCGCAAAGCGCTTGATGCTTCTGCCTGGAAACACTATCTTCAGATTTTAGTTCATCTTCTTCGAAAGATCTAGAAAAAGATAAACTGGGATGGAAAATGGAAATATGAAGATAAACCTAATTTTTGAGAGGAAATATTTGGGAGTAGTCATTCCAGGATTGCACTTGATACTGAATATCCAAGACAGATTTAGTTTTGCTCACTCCAGTTAGCTGGAAGATGGAATGATGCAGATGAGTCCTGCCCTTGCAGTCTCGGATAGGTTTATACAGGTTTCTAGTTCCAGAGGTCTGCAGAATGGACAACACTATGCTCACACAGATGCAAATGTGTGTTGTTGTTAGCCATCAGAAAAAAAAACCCAAACCTATAAAGAGCTGCATATCTTTGATACATAAGAAGAAAGAAGAGCTCTTCTACAGGAAGAGCACAAAAGAGCAGTGTTGTCTTTTGTCATATTCCAGTGGCTAATTAGCAAATGTGAGAGGCACAAGAGAAAGTCTAAGTTGAAAGAAGAAGAAATGTTTACTTTTGGTTTAGGTGTGTCAGTCTACATTGGGTACTAAGAGTTGGTGAGGATGTTGGAAGAGGGAGGGAGGATATTCCAGTTTTCTGAGATATGTTGTCAGGATCGTATGTTTATTTTTTCCATAGTGGCTATAGCCTGGTTCTCTGACTGTGCATCTCACAGCCTGTTTCTGTGTAAGACATGCTACTGTTAGGAAAATACATTCATTTCAAGAATACCATGGCATAGAAATGTCAGAAGAAATGATTTCTGCTTGTCTGATAGATAGGCTGAAAGGCAAAGCAAGTTTATATGACTCTCCAAGGGCTGTACACATGGAGGTAACTCAGTCTGCAAGAAATCTTTTATTTATGCAGGATTGTTTGTTATATTTTAAAGTTCACCCCTCACTCTCTTTTGGCAAGTATGGAATCAGCACTGGTTGAAAAAGCTTCTAGGGAAAAATATATTTGGTATAGTGGTTTGATGATGAATCAACAGTCTGTCTTGCTCCACCACATCCAGTCTAAAGAGGTGATTTATTTGTGTGTTTGAAGATGAAAGGCAAATCTGCAGTAATTGCATTCAGACAGCTCTGTAGTATAAACTTAAGAAACCACTCGATTGTAGTGTCAGCTGAAATTTGCCATCCCATACATTTATCAGCAGAACACAAATTACTTTATCGCATCTAGTGTCTGGGAACAGAGGAGAAGGCCACTCGAAAAGCCCTGGCAGGAGATTAGAAAAAAGATGCATGTCTGACCCAGCACCGATGGTGATTTTACTGTTAAATTCACTGATAGCAGAATCAGAACAGAATTTTGTGTTACAAATGTGACCTATTACCTCTTATAGAGGTGAGTAGATATCACAAAGATAAAAAGTATAAAGGTAGTCAGAAAAAGGATGTTCAAATGTTTGCATAAATATTTAAAGTTTTGCTGTCTGTGCTTTACATGCCTATATTCTATTTTGATCTCTGCAGTCAGGAGCAAAATTGAGTATTACATTTGTTGAGAAAACAGAAGCTATGTTTCACAGAGCTACCTGTTCAGCCACAGCACTGATTTTCCTGCACTGATTTTCCTGTAGCCTCCCTAAAAATTGTTAAATGTTAAAAAAAAAGAAAAAAAAATGCCTATTTACCTCCCCCCCCCATTCAGCATCTCTCTGGAAGGTGAAGAGCTTCAAGAGGAAAGAAGTTCAGTACAGAAACTTGGTGCCTGAGTTCTGTCATCACTGCCAGTTGAGCATGTTCTATAGAAACAGGTTAATGGAACCTAAAAATAGAATTTAAATGTAATTCAATTGCAGTACAAACGGACTGAAACCTTTTCTGCTTTGAACCTTAACTTTTTAGAATAGGTCTAAAATCAGGAAAGACATGCTGAAGGTTAACCATGAAAGAGCTTTTGTGACCCAAGTTAAAAAATTTGCCTAAATGTTTAATTTAATGTGCAAATAAAATCAGGGATTCTTTCCACAGCCAGCGTCTCCCCTGGGGGAAAAAGGTAGATTGCTAAAGGACAAAGAATTCAATTGCTATTGGATAGACGAATGGCTAGAGGTAGCACAGTATTTGCAGACATGTCAGATTATACGAAAGCTGAGTGTCTGTGAGAAGGAAGTGGATTTGCTTTGCAGTGTGTTCTTACCTGATTGCTTGCATTGCTACGTAGGTAACACGACTGCTGTGGCAAACATACCTACGTCATGGATCTTGCGGGAGATTACCTTTTCCCATTCAGCCCCCAAAGTAATGTGGTTTTTCGAAGTTTGTAAGATCGTGATTGCTTTATTTAAAAAAAAAAAGAAAACAAACCCTCTCTCTACCTAGGCAATTTACTACACCCCTTGAAAATACTAAGTTATGACAGCATCATTTATATGGTTACATAGGAATCACAGCTCAAATTATGAAACTCTCTCAGTTTTTTTGCAGATGGGTCTTCTCAACTTGCCTTAGCTCCTAATATCACCCTAGAGAGTCCAAGACTTCTCTGCAGTAGAAGGATCCTGCTGTCAGATCTTAAAGGATCTTAAAGGATAGTATCATACAGTGTTAATGATAAAATACTGTAATTATGTGTTTTTCTTTAACAGTTGCGTTTTCAGGCCTTGGATTTACCACCTTCTACTTAGCTGGGAAGTTACACTGCTTCACGGAAAATGGCCGGGGGAAGAGCTGGCGGCTTTGTGCAGCAATTCTCCCACTCTACTGTGCCATGATGATTGCCCTGTCACGTATGTGTGATTACAAACATCACTGGCAAGGTGAGCCATGGAGATACCTTTTCTCTACATTTTTTTTTATTAGCTTTGTATTTCTTTGATTTTTTTTTTTCATTAAATCACATGAGTTAAAATACGATAGTGTGCTAGAGATTTTCCTTGCTCCTGGATTGATGCTGAGGGTTTCGATGTCTGACAATACTGCAGGGGCCCTGTACCATTCTATATTGTCATATACACAACATACATCATCATATTTATATACAGTTCTACATCAGTAGGTTTTTTACATCATCGTTCTTCACAAATGTGTATCAGTGCCATAGCCATTTTGGGTGGATCCAGCTATAGGTTGGGTCTGGCCCATCAGAGTAGCTCTGTCGTGTGGCCTAGTCCTTGCCCACTGCTTTTCCAGGTGCCTGCTACGTACCTGTTGGGCACGTGAGTGATTGCTCCTATGTGGGTGCATGTGCATTAGACTAGACTGACACATCTGTGTGCGGCTGGTCATTGCAAAGATGCACTCAGTCATTTGTCTGTGTACCGGTCATTTGATGCATGTGATGTAATAACCTGTTTTTCATTCACATCAAAGTATATTGGGCATGAGGTGGTTTCATGGCCCCTCCTTGAGAAGCATAGAAACATTGCATACCAAGCTGCATAGCACAGGTTGTAACAGATTCTGCCCACACTGAAAACCTTGCTGCAAAGTTTGATGTTTTCTGTTCTCTTAAATTTTTTGGCCAAGGTCGTAATTGCTCCCACAGTGTCAATTCCACACTTTCCAAAGTCAGGTCCTACTTAAGGAAGAGAAATATTTCATTTTCTTGTTACCTCCTATTAAAAATGATTTTCCATATCTTTGGGTTGCAGATATTTCAAGGCTGATATTTTGTTGTACTGACTAGATGTTAGCATGATGGGTTCAGTATGGTGCCATACCTGTGCTACCAATAACTATTCAGTAATTTGTAACTGCAAACAAGTGCTGCATGTATTCAATATGGATGAGTAGGTCTTTGAAGCAGCATGCAGTGTCTTTCTTGATTGTAAAGCACGTCCACAAAGCTAAAGAAACATGCCACACAATCTTAAATCTTACCTTTGTGAGAGAAAGACAGTTACTGACGGAATGGGAGGTTGCTCATAAGACTCTAACAGCAGCATTTGATGTGTGCGTGAGTTGTATAAAATCTCTGCTCTTGGATGAACCTGCATCCTTAAAAGTCTACGTATCATGAACAACAGGGGATATTGTATGCGAAGCATCAACACTCTGAAGGATGCTTAATCCTAATCTCTTTTTCATTTTCTTCTTATTGTTTCTAGTGGAAACTTTGAATCTTCATATTCTGTGAGCATTCTCATGTAAATGAGGCATTGTTATAATACAATGCGACTAGAGCAGATACCTTTCAGGAGGTTTCTTAGTGCAGTTGAACTAACCAGCACCGACTTTCATAGCTTCAGGTCTATACTGCTCTCTTCCCTCAGAGTAGGTGCTTCTGGACTGCAACACCAGTCAAACCAGCTGCATCTGTCACAGGAAGACTGAGAGTCCTTTATAATTCAGGTGTGACATGTAACTGATATAGAAGACTATGCTGTTTATTAATTACACACATATATTACTAAGTTACAACTCCATGACTTCATTCAATTTATGCCTTACCCTCCCACACTGAGTCTTTCAGACCTGGACCTGGTGGAGAGTCTGGCAAGTTTTCAGCAAGACTTGAAGTAGCAGGGAACTTACAGAGAACTGGCAGAAATCTGGTTTTTCTCCATAATTAAAAATAGTAATTATAGGCTTGACCTCATTGTTAAGCAAAATAAAAAAACATCTGGAACAGGATTCAGTCAACCACAGTTAAAGAAGAGTGATCTGAGAATTGCAACCAACACAGGTTTATAGAAAATGAATCTATTGCTGCCATTCAGCAAGACCTGGACAGGCTGGAGAGTTGGACAGAGAGGAAAGAACCTGATGAAATTCAACAAGGACAAGTGTAGGGTCCTGCACTTGGGGAGGAACAACCCCATGCACCAGTGCAGGCTCGGGGCGGACCTGCTGGAGAGCAGCTCTGTGGAGGGGGACCTGGGAGTGCTGGTGGACGACAGGGTGACCATGAGCCAGCAGTGTGCCCTGGCTGCCAAGCAGGCCAATGGGATCCTGGGGTGCATTAAGAACCGTGTGGCCAGCAGGTCAAGAGAGGTTCTTCTCCCTCTCTGCTCTGCCCATTGAGGCCCCATCTGGAGTACTGTGTCCAGTTCTGGGCTCCGCAGCTCAAGAAAGATGAGGAGCTACTGGAGAGAGTCCAGCGGAGGGCTACGAGGATGGTGAGGGGACTGGAACATCTCTCCTATGAGGAAAGGCTGAGCGAGCTGGGCTTGTTTAGCCTGAAGAAGAGAAGGCTGAGAGGGGGCCTAATAAATGTTTATAAACATCTTAAGGGTGGGTGTCAAGAGAATGGGGCCGGACTCTTTTCAGTGGTGCCCAGCAATAAGACAAGGGGTAGTGGGCACAAACTGAAGCACAAGAAGTTCCATCTGAACATGAAGAATTTCTTTACTGTGAGGGTGACGGAGCACTGGAGCAGGTTGCCCAGGGAGGCTGTGGATTCTCCTTCTCTGGAGATATTCCAGACCCACCTGGACGAGGTCCTGTGCAGCCTGCTCTGGGTGACCCTGCTTTGGCAGGACTAGATGACCCACAGAGGTCCCTTCCAACCCCTACCATTCTGTGATTCTGTAATCTTGTCACAATAACTGAATATTTTACAAGTTGATTGATACTTTAATAGTATACTGTAGCAAAAATTCTTGCCCTTGGTACCTTTTGTACCATGACAGTTTGACAAGGAGAGTCCGAATGGTACAAAATCAGTCAGCTACCAGTATGGGTTGGGTAAGCATCTGTCTACTTGCAAATACTGTGTAGGCACAATCACCTTTTAAAATCTTACTTGAGTCTGACAGAGCAGGAGAGCTCTGCATGCTGTACACAGCATAGTTCAACTGTAGTGTTCAGAAATAGAAAACCTGGTGGTGGTCACTGTAAATCATGGCAAACTGAAAGAAGACATGCTGATTGCTGACCCTTAAAGGCTGGTCAGCAGTGGACTGGAACATCGTGAATGTTTAGTGCCCCATGGAAACCATTCTATTTCCCTTGTTCATCTCCTGAAACATAGCCAACCATCTATCTTTTGGGTATTCAAAGTGTTAGAGATGTCCCCCAAAAGTCGCAATTTTGCGTGTTCTGTGTGAATGTGGTATTCAGCTCGAAATTCTTTACGAAAATTTGATGTTCATATTTTCTGGATTAAACACTTCCTGGTCAACCAGCGGTCTTTTATTTACAGTTGCCACTACTGGCTGTCCTTTCCATGGTAACATACTTATGGTTTTGTTGCTTTTCTTACCTAGATGCTTTTGTCGGAGGGATCATTGGCCTCATTTTTGCTTATATTTGCTACAGACAACACTACCCTCCTTTGGGTAATACAGCTTGTCACAAATCTTACGTCAGCCTGCTAGATCAGAACTCTGTGAAGAAAGAAGAGAGACCCACAGCAGATAATGCTACTGGCCTGCCTCTGGAGGGAATAACTGAAGGTCCTGTATGACTTCAAGAAATGTGCAGAATGAACTTTTAGCCTTCTCACATTTCCTCCAAACTGGTCTCTTAACACAGTGTTTCTTACTCTACACGTTTTTTTCTTTTTTTTCTTTCCTTTTTACAAACAAAAATGAAATACATGATTTTTAATGCCATAATATCATCATATTTTTGAAGTTAAATTTTCAGTTCATATTGACTTACTGAATTATCTGTTTTCAGTCTACAGCAAACAGATAGACTGCTTGAGGGATGGGGAAAGAACATTAATAAAAACAATCCCATATGGAGCATGGTTAAGAGAGTAATTTTAAGAAGATGTGGTTGAGGATATAGTAGATCTGGAAACAGTTTTTCTGAAGTACTGAGTGTCTCCTAGAAAGTTGTGGTCGTCTTCAGCACTCATGGCTTTTGATGGGTGATGAGTACACACAGCACTTTTCATCAGATGTTCAGCATCTGTTGTGGCCAGCCATTTCTTTATATAATATGATGAGCTGGGCATCGTCCTTGTGTTTATCTTGTTGCCTTCTAACATAAAAATTTCCACATGCTGGTAGAACTTTCTATTAATTGTGAAGTCTTGACAGGGTCACTCTGAGCTACTAATGATCAAGCAACTGAAAGGTATGTATGGCTAAGTGTTTGTAAAAGCCAAGCCTCATGCATTAGTAGTTCCACAGGATGATGCTGACGTTCAAGAAATTCCACACTGTTAAAATTTTCAGCTTGCAATAACATGTATGTTCACAGGATGGATTAGAATCTTGGTATTATATCATTAGCAATTTTTTGAAAGCTCTTGCAGTAATTACCATCAAAACAAAATGAAAGGAAAGAATATCCATGACAGTCAACAAGATAAAGTCTTTAAAGCAAATTTAAAAAAATCCTAAAACTGTGAGAATAAAGAAATACAATGTTTTCTGTGAATCTCGGTGTGCCATGTTCATTGTGTAGTGACTCACTGCAGCATGGGTGATCTAAAGAAATGCAAAGATTTTCATTTGTGACTTTGGGCGCACAACCATGAATGCTTGTGGTGGTCTCCAGCACTGTAACATGTCCAGAGGAATGCTGGAGACAGTTTTCCACTAGACTAATTCCATATTTTCAGCTCATCATGTTCTTGAGCATGGTGTTTTCAAAGCTTGGTACCTGAATTGAAACTCATTTGAATCAAAACATGGTTGGTATGGAGAAGATTACTAAGTGTATGACTTTGGTTAATTTATTATTGGTAGGATCCTGTTTAGTTATGTATGCACTATGCAGTATACATCACATTCCTGTGAAATGATTTACCTTTGGGTGGCAGAAGGTCAGATTCCAGAGTTATTTTTCTTAGATAATCCTGTGAAAATGCAGGCAAATGTTCCAGACCACGTCTTGGCAGTTGAACATTTCTTAGCCGGAGCTGCTGGTTAAAGCGATCAAAATAGGGTTGATTAACGACCATTATTACAGTGCTTTAAACTGGAGGAGACTGCTGCCATAATTATAATTTATGTGTTCCTGTTGGAATATGTATTGGTATTTTGTGATTCAGACAGCTCAATGTCTTTGTGTAAGGCTTGTCATTTACTTTTCTCAAAGGTAAGCTTTGTAGATTTTTTCAGAAGAGCTACTTCCTAATCGGCAACACTTGCAATTTTATAGAAAGCAAGTAAATTAGAATCCCTTTAAAAATAAATGTAATAATTGTGTACAAGAGGATGCAACCTTACTACATATAAACTTACATGGTATTTGGAAATACCTATAAATAGGCAATGACGTTAAGGAACAGAATGTAATAGGCATGAACCCAGGAGGGTTCTGCAGAAATTAGGCCTGATCTACTCATAAAACTGATACCAGTTTGACCGCGTCGGTTAGAGGTAGGATTGTTTTGCTGACAGTTACAGTATTCTGAGCTCTAGAATAGAGACGGTCACCCAAATATAACGGAGGTTTTGCTGGTGTGTATCTGCGCTAGTTTGCAAAACTAGCATCAGCAAAGCAAAATAATTCTGGCATTGCATTTGCACTGGATTTGACAGAACGCTTCTCTAGTGTACCTGAGGTCTTATTCTAGAAATCCACACAGTTTAGTGGATGTTTAATCTTTCTATAAAGTTTTTAAACCATCCTACAGAATTCTGTAACA